CCTTTAGTTTTTTTGTGATCTCCCCAGTATACGTTACTAGATTCTTCATATAGACTTTTGGAGGAGGAGTAGCTTCCCATGCTGCCTCTTAAATAGATCTGGTTAGGTATTCAGTCGCTTCAATTATATCTTCTTCAGTTTTTAGTGGCATTTTGACGTTTAGAGACGATGACAACATTGTTTCAAATATAGTCCAATTTGTTTGCTTGTTGTATAATTGACATTTTTGGATCTTGTTTCTAAGGTCTTTATCTATTATTACAATCACTGGTGAATGGTCCGATGATAACTCTAAGCTGGTCTTACATTGCACATGTTCATAAAGGAAGCCTTTGGTAACGCAAAAATCAATAAGATCAGGAATTTTATCTGTATCTGATGGCCAGTATGTGGGCTCTCCTGTGGAAAAAACTTTAAGTTTCAAGAGTCTCACTGCTTTGTATAATTCACGTCCCTTTGTTGTGGTTAGTCGTGATCCCCAGAATATATTTTTCGCATTGAAGTCGCCACCAGTTATAAATCGATTCCCTAATGTTGAAAAAAATTTTGTGTAGATTTCTTCCTTCACATTATGTTTTGGTGGGCTATATATGGCAGATATAAGAATTGGTCCGACTGAGTCCTCGATCATAATATTTGTGGCTTGATTTCATCAGTGCTATAGTGAGTACATTCATAATGTTTAAGTGTTCTTTTAATTAATACTGCAGAGCCTCCATGAGCTTTTCCGTCCGGATGCGGAGACTGATAGAAACAATAGGATGGAATTTTAAAAAAACTTTTTTTTGTGAAATGAGTTTCTGAAACTAATAATACATCTACGTTATTTTTTGATAGAAATAAACTCAGTTCAGAGGAATGTTTTGACAACCCATTGGCATTCCATAAGACGAGCTTTATGGGCATATGGTTTGTTTAGAAACAAGACTTACTAAAAGATTTGTCATGGTAGTTATTTGATTCATTACTTCCCGCATTAGTTTCATCATTTCTTTCATTTCACTCACCAATGCATCGCTGTGAAGATTATTTTTATTGAAAGAAATTTGATCTATTTGGTTGGCAGCAACTTGAGCGTAAGTTTGCTGAGAGTTTTTATTTGGAGTAGTTTGAACTGGTTGAGCGCGTGCAGGTTGAGCGAAAGTTTGCTGTTTTTCGTGTTGTTCTTGATGCTGATTAGTTGAGGATACAAATTCAGCATCAGGTTTTAGAAATTTTTTTTAAGTGGTGGGAAAGTAGACGCTTGCAGTTTTTTATACACTAAGCAGCCCTTGTAGTTTGCTGGGTGGTTACCTTCACAAAGAACACATTTAACATCATTTGTTCTGGATTTTCTTTCGCAGTCAGCCGATGCGTGATTACCAGCACACTTAATGCATTTGCGTTGTCTTCTACATCCTGATTTAGTGTGGCCATAGTGTTGGCATCTTGAGCATTGAGGTAACTCACGTTTAAAATGGGGTGGCTCAAAGGTAACTCGACTGTGGAGTAAGCTTTTAATGTTGTAGATATCTTTGTTATTTGGTTTTTGCTCTATTTCTACAACGAACATTGGAAGGGACCTTTTTGTTTGGCAATGTTTCATATTCCATATATTTGTAGTAGCATGTCCAAATTCTTCTAGAGCTGTTTTTATATCCCCAATATCGACGGAGGGATGCATATTTCTTAATATGACCTTAAAGCTCCTTTCATTTTTAGGTTTGTATGTATAAAATTCCGTGTTCTTACTTTCTAGCATTTTAACGATTTTTGAATAAATTTCCGGGGCACCGGGCTGTATACGAACCCGAGTAGATGAAATCACTCTCATTTCATATTTATTATTTGCAATTTCGTTAAGCAGATTTAAAAGTGGGCGAACGTCCTCAACTTTATCTACAAAAATTGGTGGTGATTTAAGCGGTTTTTCCTCTTGTTTAGCAGGTTGGTCTTCTTTTTCTTCCACTACCAGTCCATCAAATCTATTCGAATTACTGAGCCAGTAGTTCAATTTTTGTTGCTTTGGTTTTTTCATTTTTTCAGGACTGTCTCTAAGTCTTTTACTGCCTTTAACTTCGTTCCATTCTTCTTTTCTGCACGGAAAATCAATTTTGGCGTTATGGATTTCGCTCATAGATCCTGCTCGTTCTCGCTGAGAAACCTTTAGTAAAGTCGCAATGTCTGTACTTTGTTTATTCATTTTTTCTAAACTTTGAACTTGTTTAGTTCCAACATCTGCTGGTGAATTTTCACTTTTTAATTGGTGTGTACCACCTTCTTTTACCGGAGGTGGTGTTCTATTTATAGGCATGAAATGTTTTTATAAAATTTGTGCAGTCGTTTTATATAAAATATAAAAAAATATATAAAAGAATACAAAAAGAAAAAACAAATTAAAAGATTTTATTAAAAAATTACACAATTACACGATAAGCGAATTGCAATTGGTATAATTTCAGAGTCAATTTACAACACTTTTTTCTTTATTTATGTGAAGCTTTCAAGCTTTATATGCTGTCTCTATCAGCTGTTTTAGATGTGTGTGAAAAATATTAAAATAAAATTCAAAACAAAAATAATTTTGCAAAGTTAAACTCTTTTTTTGATAAAAACAAATGTTTTAAATTCAATAAAAGTTTCACTTATCTTTTAAAATCAGCCACAATTTTATTAGCTTTTTATTTAGAGTCACTGTCTCAACTTATTTAATTAAATTTGTGATCACTGTGTTCCATTTTTTTAATAAAAAACATTAAAAGTTGCGGAGCGATTTATTTTGCGCGCACTTTGTTTGTATATCTACCACTGATACCCCATTGAATTAAAAATTATATATAAATACATATATTGAAATAAGTCACAACTAATTTATTTGCTAAAATTATAACAGATTACATATTCGTAATCACAATATTGAGTTTATATTAATTAAAAAATATATTAGCCACTCTATTTCATTTATCTTTAACTATTATTATCTAAAACTGAAATAAAGTGCTTTATGAGTACACGAAAAAAAAATTTAAGGAACATTCAAACATTATTTATCTGAATCAAAAAATTAAATGATAAATGATAAATAAAAATAAATAAACCATCTTCAATATACAATATTGTTCTTTTATACTATAATGGAAAATTTAATTATTATATAGATATAAATAAATGATATGGAAAATGAAGCAGGAAGATTGTTGACATATGCCAAAACACATATATTAAAGAATCTCAAAACACTTTCAACAAATCCTTTACTGCTCTTATATAATAATGTAATAAATGTAATATTACATTTAATAATGTAATAAACCTTAGGGGTGCTATGTAAATTCATTAAATTTGTCTGTTTTAAGAATTAACTCAAATAATTTTATTTTATAATTTATTTGCTTCGAATGTCCATTTCTTTAATTAATACATAAATTAAAATTTAGAGCTCCAAATTATCATAACCTTAAATTAATAAAGATTAAAACTATTATATATATTATAATGTATTTAAAGCTTGAGCTGTTCAATAAATATGCATGTCTTAGATTAACCGACTTTCAGATCTTCTTGTTCTAGTTATGCTTTTATAAATCTTCAGCCCGATTTTGGAATCTGCATAACAGCAATACACCATCAAAGTAGCATAGCTGCTCCAGTTTTTACATAATGTTCTTTGTGATAGTAACATAGATGAAGATTATTTTCTTCGATATATATTGTATCAGAGATTTTTTATGCATGTGGAAGATGTAATAGTAACAACAACTAAGTAACATTTTATCCTACTTACTAGCAAATATATATTAAGTTGCATTCATATTAACGTTCATCAAAGTACACCAAAACTAAAAAAAGTGCTTGACGATTGCACTAAAAAATTAACAACATTCAAAAAAATGTTTGTAGGAAGTTTATCTAAACAAAAAATCAAATGATAAACACAACAAAATAAAAACAAATAAAATATCTTTATTATAAAATATTATTCTATTATATTATAAATGCAAATTTTATTTTTATGAATAAATATTTAATAAGGGAACAAAAGGAACAGGAATATTCCAAAATAATTTCATCCAAATATAAAAGAATCTCAAAACACTCGAAAATACTTTAGTGCTCTTATATACCTATATTATTTAGATAATTTTAAAGAACGTAATAAACATATGGAGTGCTATGTGAAAGCATTAAATTTGTTATATGATCTTAAGGATTAACTGAAATAATTTTTGTCTATAATCAATTTCTTTTTAAAGGCTAATGCTCTTTTGTTAATTAATAAATTAAAATTTTTAAATTATTAAATAATGTTAAAAATAAATATTCGCTTTATTATATTTTAAGCTTAAAATATGTATACATGTGTATATGTCTATTATGTGTATCCGCATTTTAGGTTGACTTGCAGATATATATAGTTATTGTTTTGCTTTTATTAATCTTAAATTTGATCTAAGAAATCCTAAATGTTCACCTCTTCATGTATAGATGATAAATTATCTACATAGTAAATTTATTTTTTGTCATGTCTGTGTGGAGTTCTCTCTACAAACAAAACAAACGCCTTCTGAGACTGTAGTAACACCTATTAGCTATGGTAATTCTTCATCTCAACATCTTTGACGTTCATTACGACTGTGTCAAGAGAGGTGACATTAGGGATGTCGCTTGAAGAATATAGTTCATATCATGCATGCTGGAACTAAATATTTAAAATGCTTCAAAGAAAACTGATTTTAATTAATAAAATATATAGTACTATATATATATAGTATAAACCTTGCTTTACAGAGTACAGCAATTTTTGAAAATTTTTTAAAATTCTAAATCAGATACCAAGTATCATGATACCAAGCATCATAGATTTAGAATCTATTATTATGACTATTAAGTAAATATATAGTGTTATATATTTAAAGCATAAAACACTTTACAAAAATAAAATTTTATTAAATAATTTTATTTTTTATATTTGTTAAATAATTATTAAAAAAATAATATTTAATATTTAAATAATATTTGCTTATAGACGTTATAAATGGAACTTCCAATATATATAATGAATGGGGATATAATTCATAGTTATAGTTTTCGATATTTTCCAATATACATAGAGAAAGACGCTATATTTCATATTTTTAGTTATCAAGGCATTTCAGTAGACGCAGAGGTAGTCGATGTTTTCCATAGTCGATGTAGTCGATGTTTTCCATAGTCGATGTAGTCGATGTTTTCCAATATACAATGAGAGAGAGGATATATTAATTATTTATAATTTTCGATGTTTTCCAATATATGATGTTTCCCAATTTTTACTTAATGTAAGTTTTAAAAGCAATAAATATTACGCTGGTTATAAAAATCCTTTAATTCCTAATGGGAGATACACATTTATCTCAACTATTACTTACTTTTCCTTTTGGAAGGCATTACTTTATTTTGTTGTCTTGTAAAAAATACATAATTAGGGCATTTGAATATGATGTAGTAGTTGAATCCATTAATATTTGGAGCTGAAAAGTATAAAAATAGATATAAAATATATATATTTATAGAATACACAGATTTGAATGATACCAACTTGTGTAATAGGAATACATGGAACTTATAATACAGATCATGAAAGAGGATTTTTACAGATATAGTTGTCATTATTTTGCTGATCACACGATAATTATATTTCAAAATTATTGTTGTTATTATAGTTTATAGTTTCATTTGTTCAGTTTATATATTGCTTCTGTAAATATATACAAATAAAAATTATTTCTATAGATTAATTTCAAAAGTAATATATATATACCTGGCTATAAACGTTTTCTTAAAATCACTTAATTTGTTTTTTCTTGGATTTACTGGTTACTTAATACTTTAATATATCTTCATATAAGAAAATTATTTACTGTAATTTACATATACGTTGTATTTATATATAGAATTAAATACATTTTATTACCATATATATATATATATATATATATATATATACTGCATTACACGCATTAAAATTGCAATTGTTGTTATCCAAAATCCTTAATCACGGCCTTTCCTTACGAATAGTGTTGCTTCATTTTTTGACTTGTAAAAAATATTAAATTAGGGCATCTGGATTTGGTATAAAAGTTAATTTCATAAAGATTTGCAGCTGAAACAACTAAAAACTAGATGATATTTATACTTAGTTCCGAGTAATAGAAATCTGTAATATATTATAATGAATCATATTTTTATACTTAGATACCAAACAGTTTTGCTTATGACTGTAATAAATGGAACTTCCCATATACTTCCTTTGCATATGGAAATTTTTTAAATGTATAGTTTTCAATATGTCCTAGAATACATGGTGAAAGAAGATATATGGTATTTAAAATATTATTTCATTGGCGGGTTTCATAATCAAGTCTGCAAGTATATAAAAATAAACTTTTTTTCTTTACTTTCTTAATTTGGAAAGTAATAAATAATACCTTGGTTGTGGAAATCCTTTTAATTATAAATGGAGATATGTTTTTTCTGAATTCACTAATTTGAGTTTACCTATCAATAATAAAATTATTTGTTTTAAAATATTACAAATTTGTAGTGTTTAGATATATCTATTTATATATATCTCACATATAAAAGTTTTAATTATTATTATCAAAACAGATGAATTTGCTCATACCTTTCCTTTGCAAACGGATAATTTCATATTGTAGCCTCGTAATGAAGAATTGAGGCATCATGATTATATATGTATATATATTGTGTTTATAAATATTTGTAGCTGAAAAAATAAAAAAAAAGAACATTTTAATTAAATCTAAATAATAGAAATATGTGGTAAATAATATATTAATATTTAATATATTTTTATATATATATATTTACACATTTTGTATTAAACTCTCTATTTTTAACATATAAAATATACAAGAACGCCATGATCAACCGAAGAATTAAAGAAATAATTAAAAATGACTCACAGCAAACATTAAAACAACTTAAAGATTTATAAAATGTTGTCAGAAGTATTATTCCTAAATATGTATGTTTATAAGAATAGTGGATCTGATAGGATTGGAAACCATATTTGTAAATCGTGATTTGCGACAATCAATACGAAAGAAAGCATTTTTCCATCGAATAATTAGCGGTTAGAATAATTGAATTAACGACTATACTTCGACACCTAAACCAGTATATGTAAATCATTAATGAACCAGACCCATACATATATATATCAAGACGATATATCGGTTGACAAATAAACCATATAACTGACAGAGTCAGCGAACATATGTCGGAAATCATATACAAAAAATAATAGATAATTTCAAATGGTATGAAATTGTCTATCAGATTATAATAAAAAAAATTTCATTCCAATAATATATCTGTTGTGTATTATCATTTTAAGTTCTCATACAGCTAAAAAAAAACCCGATATTTATTTCAATAATGCAAATACACTCAGTGAGATCAGAAAGGTTTGAATGTATCTCAAACTACTGAAAAAATACAGATGGTTACCAAGTGCAACTTCAAAGTTAAAAGTCAGCTTTGATGGAAAAATGGTTGAATAAAGATAGTAAATAATGTAAAATATATATTAAAATATATAAATATTGTTAGAAATAATTTGGAAAGGCAAAATCGAAAAACTCTGCCGCCTCTCCATGAACAAAAATCTTATACAATTTTTCTTAAAACGAATTTTATTATTATTTGAAATAACTTATTCCCATTCCTCAAGACCAGGGATATCATAAAAGAAAATTTTATTATTAATTAAAATAATCTTATAACGCCAGATATCATGAATTCAAATGTTATCATTATTTATATGATAATTTAATTAATTATTAGGATTATAAGGATAAATAACTCAATCCTATTTAGCCGTGTATTGTTCTAGAATAAAAATGCCCTAAAAGCAAATTTTATTTGAAATAACTTACTTCCATTTAACTAGACATCCATCCAGAATAGTTAGGAGTTAGGAGTTAATTACAATTACCTAGACATTCCTCCAGAACAGAGATGTCGTAAATTCTAAATTTGTCATGCATTTAGCCGAATCTCATGAATTCAAATTTTATTATTATTTAAAATAACTTGATCCTATTTCTCTAGACAATCCTTTGGAAGATGTAAAAGTTGATTGATGGTGATCGTCCACTTAAAAGACTCGTCACTGTAGTTTTAAATATTTGATATAATTTCATTTCATTAAGCTGGAATAACCTAATCCAATTTTGCCGAAAACTCCTCCAGAACAGTAAACTTCTTAAATCGAATTTTATTATTATTTAAAATAATATAATCTCATTTGCCCACACATCCCTCTGGAATATGCAGAAATTAACAATAATGATGATGACCATTCGCTTAAGGGAGTCTTCACTGTACTTTTTAATATTTCAAAAGTAACTTAACGCCATTTAATCGAATGTCATTAAATTAAATTTTATTATTATTATTAGATATAACTTAATCTCTCTCCAATATCGCCGGACACTTTCCCAGAACAGGGATGTTCTAAAATCAAACCTTTTCTTTATTCGGAATGTGTAGAAGGTAATTGATGATGATCGTCCGCTCAAAAGAGTTTTTACTGTAGTTTTAAATATTTCAAAAATGTTCTTGTGAAAAAGTTCTTTAATTTCGTTTCCCTATAGAAAAGCTCTTCTAAAGTATAGCGAATTTCTTAGTCTAAGTCGATTTTTTAAAAAATTTTGCCTTTTTTTTCTTAACTTGTTTTGAGCTACAGTTTTAGTCTTAACAACTACAACATTTTGTTGCTGGCGGTTGAGTCTCTTGCTGCTAACATTGTTGCTAACATTGCGGCTTTTCTTCTTGTTGTTGTCTTGTTGTTGTTATTGTTGTAGTATTAGTTGTTGTATGTTGTATGTTGTTGTTATTGTTATTGTGGTATTAGCTCTTAACTTGACTTTACTATAATTTTACTATGATTTTTCAAACGCACAACACACAACGCAACATTTTATTTGTTGTTCGTTGTTTTTGGTTTTGGTTTTTTTTTTTCTTTCATTCTGTTTTGTTTTATTTCACATTATTTTATGTTATTTATTTATTTTGTTTTTTTTTTTGTTTTTTTTCTGATTTGCTTTAAGTTTGTGCCGATGTATAAACTTCATTCATATTCAGTCGCACGACGCGGTTTTAAGAAGGCAAACGTTACCTGGCACAGCAAGTGAAGTGCATAAAAATTCCACACACAAAATATATAAAAATTGCAAAATCAAAGCATTTCATGCGAATTTTTGTGTAATATTTTGTGTAATATTTTGCATAAACGAAAAATAAATTCAAATATCATTTTCGTTATAATTAAATAGAATTAAATGGAAAAAAAAACAGTGATTGCAAAATAATATAATTTAAATTAATTAAAAAATATGCAATTGCATTGAAAGTTCTAACAGTTTGCGGTGCTTGTGTATAACAGTTACGGCTTTGAAGATAACAAAGCACAATAATGAATACAGTTTGAGAGTGACTGTAAGAGTGTTGTAAGGATATGTGTTGCCTGTTGTCCGCTTAAAAAGTATTTCATGTCATGTTTGTGTAATACATTTCGCCGCTCTCGCTCTCTCTCTCTCTGTCTCTCTTCATGTGTTCTGTGTTCTGTATTGTTAGTTCTTGCCGTTTATGCCTTAATGCCACCCACCAAGGATGTTGGCCCATTAAGTAAATAATAACTGATTTGTGTTCAACATAGAAATTTGTGTTCTTTGTGGATGAAAAAGATATCAAAGCTCGTGTATTTTTTGGAGAAAAATCGTAACAACACAACACAACACAAAAGAAAAAAAAATAGAATAAAAGTAAAAGTAGTAGTAAAAGAAAAATCTAAAGCAAAGACAAAAAAAAATGGGTTTAAACGATTTTGTCGCTTTTTTCTATGGTTCAGCACAGAATTTACATACATCAGCGTCAACGGCAACGCCAACAACAGCAGCTGTTGTTTCAGCTGCGCGTAGTGCAAGTGGTGCTCCGACAACAGTGCAAATGTTAAAAAATCATAAAAATTCACAAACTAAAAAATACAATTTAAATGATTTTCCGAATGATGTGAAATACACAAAGAATTTCCAACCAAATCTATTGGCCACACTAACAGCACCAACCGAGGCAAGTGCAACAAACAATACGGCAGGCGCTAAGACCTTGTCAACGGCAACTGCAGCTGCATATACAAGTGAATTGGATCTATATAGTAGAACGTCCGGTTTGCGTAAGAAATCCTTCATATGGAATTCTTTTCGCCTGCCCCGTAAGCAAAGAGGTGAGTCAAACCAGCCGAAAAGCACGTGTACCTATTGTTTTCCGTACCCGTACTCGTCGCGTTGTCATAACGAAAAATCAATTTTCTGCTGCCTTAAGCTACACTATATATATATATATGTATAGATATATATATAACTATATATACATAGCATACAAAATAATGAAATACAGCAATGAAAATACAAGAAAACTTAAAATAAAAAAAAAACAAAAAAAAAAGACAAAGAAGTGTAACCAAAATAAAACCATTCCGTCAATGCTATTCATTTATATTAATTGTATAATTGTATGTCAGTCGTCAGAAATTTAACAATCTAAAACCGCAAATTTTTATTCAAAATATAGTGCAAAATCCATAAATTTATTATGTGTGCGAAATACGAGTCCAACTGACCGTAGAAAGCAGCGAGCGGTATAGAGTTTTGCTGTGAAATCAACTCAAAATTAGAAGACCAAATAATAAAATCTATTAGCTTTGTTATACTATTCTTTTCGGTATAACAACTATTATAAATTTTACTATTATTACTTTTACACTATTATTATATTTTATATACACTCTGTTCATATTTTCTGCTTTAAACCGCTTTCGAATTTTCAATTAGAAAAATTACACAAAAAAAAAAAAAGTTCTACTTTGATTTCGCCTCGGCTTCGTTACGCGCTGTCTTCTGTGTATTATATGTATCTGCATGCTGACCCATATTAAGTCCATTAAGCTCTTCAACTCTTCAGCTCTTCTCGCTAGAAGCTGCGATGTTGCTGGGCAGTCTTGAAAATATTAACCAACATTAGTTAATTGCTGCTAATTAACTTGGTTTTGTCTTAAGTTATTGTACCGTGCCATTGTTGTTTTTGTTTTGTGGATTTTAAGCTGCGCCCGTTGGCCAAAAATATGTGATGACACATGTTGACGCCTCAATCAGCGCCTCAATCCAATGCGTCGACATAACTTTCAGTTACTCTTTATGTTGTTTGTTTAAACCGAAAATTCATCATCATTCACAGTGTTGACAAAATATCAAAAATTTCTACCGAATAAAGTTAGATTTTTTTTAACCCATCTTATCCATCTTACCCATCTTACCCATCGGTAACCAAACACTCATCTCTCTTTTTAGTCATTTGAAGTCATTTTTACTTTTCTACACAAACCAACTAAGATTTATGTCACTTTTGTTGATTTTTATGTTAACTTTATGCGGTTTTTGTTTTAATGATTTTACTTTATAGTACCAAAAAAAAAAAAAAACAAAAAGCAGCAGAAAGAGGAAATCATAATTCATAAATATATATTTATATAAAATATCTTCTTTTTTTCGCATAAATTTTATACTTTATTTTCACCAAAAATATTGGCAGGTTTACAGTGCGTTTACACTAACACAATTAACGCGATTAATCCATTTTAGCCTATTGGGTATTTAAATACCCAAGAAAGTGTAGACATGTAAATAATTCTAGCGTGAACTAAGTGGCAGGTATCACGATTTTTTACCTTAAAGGGGAAAGATGAGACTACAACATAAAAATAGAACAGCATAGTTCGTACTTAGTTAACTTTAGTTTTTCACAAGTTGAAAACATGGTTTTCTTTTTTTGTCAGAAAATGCTTGGGAAAAGTGTTGCCAAATATTAAAAAATGAGAAAAAACACAGAGACCTCACCCTTATTAAGCAGTTTAAATGTTTACTCTATGCAATAGAAATGCAAAATATGTAAAATTGATAGAAAAATGATCACACCAACGCCTGTCGGGTATTTAAATATTGCTGCATCTCAGCAATATATGAAGATATCAAAAAAGTTTTTATTTCTTCTAACTTCTGTGATTTCTAATAGTCATATATTAAAATTTTATCAAAATCGGACGAGCGGATCTATAAACAGATTTTAATGGGTTAATTCAAGAATGCCTCAAGGCATTAAGGCCTATAATTAAATTATTATGTTGGTGTTAATTATAATTACAATTACAACATAATTGCTTTAATATTTTGCGAATCCTCTAAATTTACTGAATTCAATAAAGCTTATTTACAAACTGTTTTTTTTGAAGGAATATAGCTTATTTATATCGTTTTCGTTTGGTAAATCCGGTTTCAATCTAGATTTACTCTTGATCTGTGAAACTTTGTTGTTATTTGTTGTTATTATTTAAATTTAAATTAAATTAACACTAATTTACTAATTATTTACCAAATTTTCTCAACACCAGATGTTTACACTAAAGCAATTAACTCGACAAGTATGTAGCAGAAGTGCTATTTTTCCTACAACATGCATACAAAGTCCATACAAAATCCATACAAAATATTTTGATCAAGTTTAAATATTTCTAACGAATACTTAGAACTTCAGATTAATATTGTATGTCCATCTGGAACCAAAATCTCATTAACAGCTGGACGAAGTTAACATAAACTATAATGCTTTCATGTGATAATTCTGTGCATTAAAAATTGCTTCCCGAGGTTTAAAATTTTCTTAACGGTTTATGGACGGGTAGTGCTTAATACATCTTTAAGAAACTTTGTATATGCCTGGATAACAGGCAATAGCAGACAATTGTGCGATTATTGTCAGCTCGTATAGAGCAAGGCATTATAAAAACAAGTGGGCTACATATTCCCGTATTTTGGGTAGAGTGACGGCTCCAATTATTTTTTGCAAGCTACTGTGAACCGGAACTAAGACTTCATGATGAGTTTAAGAATGAGAATGAGGAATCCTGGTTTTTATAAAAGTTGTTTTAATCAAATGTGTTTCGATAGTTTAACTTAATAGATTAAAATAGTTTTATAGTTTGTTTATATTATACTATAATGTATATTATTATATGTATAATTATATATATATTATTATGTGTATTACTATATACTATTTATATTATAATGTCATTTTAACTTACTTGAATTCTTTAACAGAACAGAACAGAACATCAATCAACAAAAAATAACAAAACATCTAGGCAAGAGCTTCAAACAGGATTTTTTTCTAATAAATAAATGGTTAAAATTAGTAAATATATATACTTGTAATGTATAATATATGTTTTTACCTTCAATATAATTCGTGTAAATTTTTTAAATTATAGAAAAATAAATAAATAAAAAAAAGTTAAAAATCCAAGCACCAAAAAATGTAGAGCACGAAATGTTAGAAGTCAGCACACTTCCACACCTCGTAACATGTCGACAAACATTTACTATCACTTAAACCCCTTGGAATAATCAATCCATACTCATTGATATCATTTTTATGAAAATTTAAGCCAAGTCCAAGCTTAAATATATGGCCATTATCGAAAACTATTTTTGAGATTACGTCGTTCATTGTATATTTAATATCCATCCGTAAACCACTTCTTAAAATATCAGATTTTAGTTTATTCAATCTTGATTCCTGAGTGGAGTTAGCACTGACATCATGTATTGTAACAATACGGACGAATTTCAATTTTTCGCAACGATTTATCAGCATAATCAGGAACTCTTCTAAATTCCGATAATGGTTTTCATGTCGCAGTAGTGGCTCCTCAACTATTACTTCAATTATCTTCGAGCTTAGGTACGGTCCAAAGATGTGATCATAGCCGATCCCTATATCATCGTTATTAACAATTTGTTTTTTTAAACATTTTTCAGGACGAAACTTTTCTTCTATTCTCTTTGTCAGGATGTCAATTCTGTCTATTAATTTCGGAATTTGCTGAAGTTGCTGCTTGGTTTCTCCATGGCCTTCTTTCATTTTATTCATGAGTACAAAAGCATTACGCTCGTACAAACTTAGTGCTTGTATCATCCGTCCTTTGTGATCGCAACTCATTGCCTCTTCTAATAAACTAGCTGCCATTTTGTCCAGATATTTTAAATCAGTATTATTTACTTGATTGATATCAAAAAATACAGTCTATAGAATAAAATAAAAACTTTTAATAACTTTTTTATTTTGTTTTGTACAAATTTGATTTTCTTTAAAACAAAAGCCGACTTAGTTCAAATTTAATTAAATAAGCTTGGATTGAATTTTGTAAACACATTTATAGGAAATAAATTTCAAATGAATTCAAGATTTTTTAATTTCCTTAATTATTTCATTTTCACTATCGTTTTCAAAGGTAAATGGATTTTTCATTTAACACAATTAATAAATAAACAGTAGAAGTTGTAAATCGAACTAACTAAACTAAACTAATGTAAATCCTAACAATCCCATAGGTTCACATATGAAACCCAACATAGTTTAATATAATGTAGATCCTCTCTGTCTATTTTGCTTCTCACTTTCGGCAGTTTCTATAAAACATTCAAAACGATTTTATCAACCCGAACATCATTTCTGAAATCCAAACCTTATTTAAATCTGTTCTAGAAGTTAACAGTATTTTTTCCTTTTTAAGTACATTGTGCATTTTTCTTCACGAGTTCGATGTAATTAAAACTGAAATAGACTTTAAGACCTTTTCTTTTTATACGCTTAGGTTAGGTAAGGTTATACTGGCCATACCAAGGGATCCATTTAGGCCTATGGGCCTTATTGTCTTACAGTATAATTAAAAACTCAAGGGTTAGAACCACTTAAAACCTTTGGAAAAGCTTATAATGCTATTCAGAGAGGGGTCTTGCATGGGAAGCACTCTTATCTTCCTCTCCATAACTGCAGCAGGTTTGGTTAAAAGAGAGGTTTAGTTTCCTAGCATGGTTATCTAAAATATGAAAACCTGTAAGTAAACGTACTACAAGGCTGGAGCATCTCAATGAAAGAGTTTAATTTTTTTTTACTGGATTATCTTGTAATGTCTTATTTAATTGCATTAGATTTTTAAAAATGTTAACATCTTGGGTTTCAATAATTATACATCCAAACCATAATTTTTTCTGTGTAAGCACTTAATCGATATACAATAAAGAAAATCTAATACGACGTTTACTTTTATGCTATGTTTAGACTATTGTACTTAATTCGACAAATATGCAGTATGTGCCAATTTTTAAATAAAATCAATACGAAAAATATGCTAAATTGCTTTTCAATAAGTCTAAGTGTGAACATCGTATCATAATTATCAAACCTGGTATTTATTGTTGCACATATGATGAGTTAATTACATTGATTTAAAAGGCACTGTTAGACTTTATTACCTTCTATTGAATTTAAGCCTTCTAGATATAGAAACGAAAGATATTTTGAACTTCTGGTTGGCTATAGAAAAATTACTAGTATTTAACGTATTTTCCCTTATCGCATTTACAACAGATTGTTTTTAATTCAACATTTGATTTTATTCTGCATATTTGTTTGGTTTACTCATGCGTTCCACGTACGCATATTTCCCGATGGAATTGATAAGGCACCTTTGTTCTGTTCATATAAAAATCGAGTCTTAAGCTTCACTTATCTCAGTATAAAAAATTTATATAAAAAACCAATTGTTCAAAATATGACTTAGGGCTTATACTCCAAAGTTGCTCACAATTATGGTTAATACACAATAAAATTATTTTTTTGATAATAATTTCAATGTTTACAATTTTTCTTTTTTTTTTTTGAATTTTCAATTTTTCGTATAATTTATTTAAAATTTAAGAACTCATAAAAAATAATAGAAAAAAATTTCATTAATTTTTTCAAGTAATTTTATGTGTGCAGAACGCCCATTAAAATTCCAAAAATGTTTCACCCACAATTCACTTCTTTGTTGCTTACCGCGCTACTCTCTGGAATTCATTCAAAATTTCTTGAAAAATCAATTTAATGCTCAGGTGTTTCCATTAAAAAACTACATAATTATTTGATTGAATAATAAAATATTGCTTCAAACTAAAATATTACCTTTGAAATGAAAATATAAATAATTTAAAAAACACTTTATTCGATTAATGAAATAAAAATTTTATTGATTACTTGGAAGACATGTAAAATGATGTTTCTCTCTCATTCACGCTCATTTATTCAAATCCAAATAATAGAACGTTGCAGTATGTAAAGAATATGGCATCAGATTATGAAAATTTTAGTATATACATTAGAATCTTTTGAAGAAAATGTTGATAGAATATTGTCATTACAAACTATTTCCACCTGGCCAAACAATGATTTGAACGATTAAATATTAATCAGCATAAATATTAATATAATTGAAGCCAGAAAATAAGTCTAAATTAAGCTAATATCGTGTTTCCACTGCTAACTAAAACTACTTGTATTAATGAAATTAATATTTGGTTCTTTCCATTGGCATAAGCTGATTCATGCATGTGACGTATGAAAAATATTTTAAATTTAAGGAATGTCCCTTGTGAGATAATTTTTTCATTATTTATCAGGGTATTTAATTCCCTTTTTTTAAGCGTTGCATTTGACAATTTTCACCTTAAATCAGTTGATTTATTTATAATGAGCTTTTATATATGAAAATTCTTCATATGGAAAATTATGCTCATTAGCAGCCTTAACGTTCAAAACTGCCTAGATGAGACAAATGAAAATATGGTATAAAAAAAAAGTATTATATTTTCCTATGGTTACATTAATCCGTACATAACTTTCATAACTTACTAAATATCAAGAGACCTTGATCTGATAAATCACCATCAAATTTTAGTTTCTTGATGTCAAAAACTGATCATAATAAGCATCTGCATCTATTGTTCAAAGATAATACCTTAAAACTTTTCAATTAAGAGATAATGGTTCAAATAGAAAAATAACAGTTAAGAGTTTTAAAAAGTAGGCAATATCTGGATTAATAAAATTGTTTTAAAAAAACAAAAACTTAATATTCACCATACTACTTCGGATATTGCTAAATATTCACTATCAGTGAATATATATTACAAACGTTTATTGATGTTTTTTGTCTGTATATAATTTTAAGGCAGCAAATGTCAGGCATTAAACCTCTCCCTGGTCACAGGTCAGAACATTGAGCCCATATTGCACTTGATTTGCGTTTATTACAGTTGGAGTTTTCCCTTTTCTCACCGATCTCATTGAACTGTCATTCTGTAGCGTTAGGGACCTGGTCAAGTTTATAGAACTGCCAGGTTAGTTTTCCTTAACCTAATGGGGGAGTCGTTACCTTCTTCGGCATTGACTGTATACTGATTTAAATCAATGTATATACCAATGCCATTCCTGTGGCACCACAATGGGCCATTATTTGAGATCAAGTGGGCTTTTTGGAAACAAGACCGCCATTCCAACCTACCTACCTACTTGAAGTTTTGACAATTAATATTTGTTCCTAGCTAATAATTTTTGTAGTCAAATTTTTTTTAAATTCAAACCCTATTCTATATGAAAAATATTCTTGCCATGAACATAAAAATGTTAATTAAAAATAACAACATAATTTTTTTTTTTGTAGAAAAGAAACGTCGGATTTTTTTCTTTAACCAATTATTTCAAGTTACTAAACTTAATTATAAATAATTACAAATGTTATCTTTTTCCTAACTAAGATTATCTATTGTCATTCTTATAAAATTGTTAATCTAATTATATCTATTATTATTTTAATTTAGTTTTTTTCATACAAATTACTTCTTAGAATATTATTAAATATTTTTTAAAATTAAAGATTAAAGAGATTATTTCGTACTTAGAAGAAGAACCAGAGACAAATGTGAAAAAAATTTTTTTTGACTTTGCTTTAATTCAGCGATTGCGATATTTAAGAACTGAATTTATTAAAATTAAATTAAATTTAACATATTTTTTATTATTAAAGCATAACGGAAGGTAATACAACGGGAACTTATATTCCAGTTACCCTAGTTCTAGATTACGAAAAAGTTTAACAACTGCTTTGGACCTTATTTTAGTCAAGTGTTCTATGGCCCTAAATTATTGGTTCTGCATCTAGTCATTTGTGCAGTCTAGGTTTTCTTATCTTTTCTGTAAAAGTTTTAAACCACCGTTAACCTGACCGTAGCTGTAGTTGCTCTACTAGTTAATGTACTGCTTTTGCTTTTGCTTTAAGAGTGATACTACTTAGAGATTCTTCATAAAGTTTTTATTCCATCTATAATTATTCTCTATAACCAGAGTGAAACAAAATATTATGAATATATAAAGTCAAAAACTTTTCGCCTTATTCGGTAGACAATTTGCCTTATTATTACCTAGGTATCGCTCATGACCTGGTATTCAAATTAAAAAAATAAAAGGTTTCTCTTAGCTATGCTTTGGTGGAACTGGTGGCATTCGCAAACCAATATTAGAAAATATTTTTTTAAAGGATTCGAATAACAAAAAAATACAAGCGCAAAAATTGTAGTTAAGTTCTTGAAATTTGGCTGACCATACAACGCTATTTCGAATATTACCAAGTACTCATCATCAATGGTCTTAGGAAATTTTCAAATATCTTTTTAATTTATAGTCCATATATAATTAAAAACCGCAAATGGGAATGGATCGGTCACACTTTGCGTAGACCGATGAGTAGCAGAAGAAGGGGCAGACCTGCTCACACCTGGAGAAGACAAACCGACACGGAAATGTCATACATGCGGAAAGGCTGGGCAGAGTTAAAGCTATTGGCCACTATTCGTACCGAGTAGAAGTTATTTGTTACGGCCCTATGCTCCTCCTAGGAGTTAAAGAATTAAATATATATATATATGTACTTTGTTTGGACTGCAAGTCTCAGGTTATCAATTTAAAAGCAATGACTAATCGTACTTTTCCACAACCAACCAAGGCTGCACTTGGACCAAGTGCTGAAGTTCTTGCGGTTTTGTCATTTTTTTTTATTTTTATTTATTTTTTTATTTTATTTTTATTTGTGTTTTTTTTTATATTAAAAGCAACATATACTGATGATGAGTACTTTTTTTTTGGTTTAACAGTTTAACTTTTTATTACCTATGTCTCGCTCAAAACATAGAAATCCGGATTAATGAAATAAAAGATTCATTTTATATAGATTTCATAGAAAGTGCAGGAATTTTCAGACCAATACAGAGAAAATTTTTTTTTGTAGGCGTTCTGCATGATTTAGAGAAATAGGCAGTTCGTTTAGACGGCTTGCTTTATTTTTATTTACGTATCGCTTATGATCTGTTATTCAGATTACTAAAATATAAGGTTTCTTCTAAATATGTTTAGGAAAAACTGGAAGACATTTAATATTTCGAATTATTCCAAAAGATATGCAATGATCTGGTATCCGTATTACTAGAATATAAAGTTCTCTCTAAATATATTGCAGAAAAATTGGAAGATATTCAATCTTCCGGATTATTCTGGAAGATATGCAATAATATGATATTCGGATTACTAGAATATCAAGTTCTTTCTAGATATGTTTCGGAAAAACTGAAAGACATTTAATCATCTGGTACCCGGATTTTTAGAATATAAAGTTCTTTCTAAATATGTTTCGGAAAAACTGGAAGATGTTCAAGACCTATATTAAGAGATTTTACTCCACATTTTTCTTTTTACATAAAGTCGGTTTTGTTTTTTAGAATTTTAACTTTTAATTTGAATCAGAGGAGAATTCCCATATGATGAAGGCAAAAGTGAATATTTCGAAATACGTATATGAATACAGAAAAAATTCGATTGAAATAAAAGTTAAAATTTTAAAAAAGAAAACCGATTTTTTAATTAATTATTAATTAAAATTAATTTAACCCTTTTGTATTATAAAAATGTTTTTAAAAAATTGTTCCACTTTGGAATGGTTGAGGTGGATTAATTGTATAATAATTATTGTTACCCATATAAATTTCTTCAGAAACATAAGATCAAAATTTTAACTTATTTCAATGGATACACAAATTCATGGACAATACAATGTAAAACATATTTGGAGTTCCAGAACTTGAATTTTATTCGCATACTCAACTAATTTATACTCTTCTTAAAATTTTGCTGATTCTGATTTAAACAATCTGACAATGATGAATAAATTAAAAGTTCTTTGAAAAAAATATACTTTTTTCAATGTTGTAATATTATTTCTTTCTCATAATTTTCATTAAAATTAAAATTTTTATAATTACATCTGCAAATATACATATTTTTCTATGTATATATTTATTTTAAAATGTACAACACACAAACCTTTGAAATGTAATCAAGACTCTTTTTCTGCTATGTCATAGGAGCTTAAAAGTCTATTAACCTTTTACGTGTTCATTTGCAATTTACAAAAAAATTAAATTAAATTATACATAAAACTACTAACGGGTCTTGCTGCGGATGTACCACGCTCATAGCTTAAAGTTTATACCGCTTGAAATGGAAGCGGTACAAGCAAAAAATTAATAACAGCTTCAAAAAACAAAAACAAAAAAAAAAATAAATAAGTAAATTAAAATATTGAAAAAAATGGCAACACCGTTTATTTACAAATCTTTAAAAAAATTTAAATAAATGTTGGAAATTTTTTGAATTTATTGGATTTCAAACGGATTCAAGATATTCATCCAAATTTCCTTACCAG